ATTTTTTTTCTCTATGGTGCCATCTTTTTAACACAATATGGAATTCACGTGATCAAAAGTGTGTGCAAAACCTACAAAGGGGTGAGGTGCGGGGAGTAAATGTTGCAAACGTACAATCGGCACATGCGAGGTTTTGTGGAAAAAATATCTTTGGAGGCCCGTGGAGTGCAACTAGAGAAATCCAATTTCCTATATATAAAGCGAGTGTTGTAGAGTCTTCTACACCCGACAAACTAAATCGTGCGATATTAGCGAGACAAAATATCTATACTGCGGTGGAGGGGAGCGCGTTACCCTATGAAGGGGAGTTCGTTAATTAATATTTCTTATACCCTCAAAACATAAAAATAAAGAGCGTGTTTTTATTAAATGTGTTAACTTTTAATTTTATCCCGGGAGAGATACTAACCGGCACTCTTATGATCTAAAAAAAAAAATTTTTCTCTCCCTCGGTTAACTCTCTAAATTCATTTTGTGAAACCACAAGAGGGGGAGTTGTTTTTTTTTTCTTTTTTTTGAGATGCACGTTCGTGAGTACATTATTTTTTTTTTTCTCTCTCTCTCTCTAGGTAAAGCAATATATATATATATATATATATATATATATATATATATATATATATATATATATATATATATATATAATTATCATTTTTAATGTACAGGCATGGAAAGAGAATTTCAAGGAGTAAAAAAATGATACAATCGGTTGCACGTGGATTAAGTATGGATAATACACCAACTATACTAGAAGACGAGGATTCTCAAACATTACGAGATGTCACATCGGACAGTGGAGGTAACTAATGTTTTTTTTTTAAATAACACGCGGTTTGCCAAATACATTGTTCTAATATACAATAACCAATTTCAGTGAATGATAAAAAAATATTTTTATTGACAGATTCTGAGTATGTTTCCAACGACGACAGTAGCGATGATTCAGCTGATTATGAAGGTAATAACTTTTTTTTAATCTTTAAACATTATATTATTATTATTATTATTTAGTCTTTCAAATTTATGGATTATTGTAATTTGCCATTATCGTATTTGATTCGATGTTACGCTATACCAGATTACGACGATCTGGGAGATCAGTCGTATGAATGTCAATCGTGTGGTGCAATGATGTGGTACGCTGAGCGCCTTGATAAGCACAGGAACACATCGAGACCCGAGTTTTCTCTATGTTGTCAGAAGGATAAAGTACAACTACCTTATATGAAAAATGCCCCACCTACTCTTTCCAATTTGCTTTTCGGTACGGATAGACAGAGCAAACATTTTCAGGACAATATTCGTTCTTACAACATGATGTTTGCTTTCACATCACTTGGCGGAAAGGTCCAAACATCTATTAATACGGGTGCTGGACCATACACATTTCTACTTCAAGGTCAGAATTACCACCTGTTGGGTAGTATGTTACCAGAGGAAGGTGCACGACCTAAATTCGCACAACTTTACATCTTCGATACGGAGAATGAAGTCCGCAATAGAATTGATGCTGTCAGGTAAAATTATTTTCATTTTTCGTGCACCCATTTTCAATACATATGAAGTATTTTGAGGAGAGTGCAATTCTTTAATCATTTTTTATTGTAGGTCTGGAAATGGCTCGAACAACCTTGATACTCAAATTGTTGCATCCTTGAAGGATATGATCGACGAGAACAACATCCTTGCTCAGTCGTATAGAGCTGCCCGTGATCGATTTTCGAGAGAAGGCCTGCAAGGTGTTAAGCTAAAGCTGGTTAAGAGTCGTAGCACCGATGGGAGGACTTACAATCTCCCTAATGCAAGTGAGATTGCAGCGTTGATAGTTGGAGATTTTGACACGCAAGAGGGTGTTAGAGACATTGTGGTTGAGACTCAGTCCAAGAAGCTGCAACGCATTAGTGAGTTGCACCCATTGTACCTACCGTTCCAGTATCCGCTCATATTTCCTTACGGGGAAGATGGATATAGAGAGGATATTGGTTTGAGAGACTCTTTTCGAGGTAACAGTGGAAAACGAAAAAACTTAACCATGCGAGAATACTTTGCTTACCGTTTCCAAAAAAGAAGCATCGACAGTCCAGTACTGCTGAATTCAAAAAAGTTGTTCCAACAGCTTGGAGTGGACGCGTATTCTATGATTGAGTCTCAAAGGTTGAATTTTATTAGGCACAACCAGGATCAGTTGCGTGTGGACATGTACAAAGGCATTGAAGAACGTTTTTTCAAAGGGGACACTGAAGGAACATCAGTTGGAAAGCGCGTAATTCTGCCAGGTTCTTTCATTCCCGGACCTCGGTACATGTTCAACAATTTTGTCGACGCACTTCAAATTTGTAACTGGATTGGTTTTCCATCATTGTTCATTACTATTACATGCAATCCACAATGGCCTGAAATACAAAGGGTCCTCAATGACACAAGTCTCAGACCGGAGGATCGTCCTGATATTCTATGTCGCGTATTCAAAATGAAGCTGGACAGTTTGATGACGGATTTCAAGAAGGGACATATATTCGGACGAATTAGAGCACGTAAGTCATGAACTCTTTTTAATAAATTACTTTACGAGTAAATTCATTACATAAAGTATCGTATTAAAGTATGAATATTAATTTACGTAATTTACGTAATTATTTTTATACGCAGATGTGTGTACTATAGAATTTCAGAACGCGTGGTCTACCTGCATGCACATATAT